TGGTCTTGAACTCCTGGAGGCTCAAGTGATCCCTCTGCTTCAGCCTTCAAAAATGTTGAAATTATAGGTTTGAGCCACCATGCCCAGTCCTGTTTTAAAATTTAATAATGTTTTGCTTACATACCTTCTTTGTCCTCAGCCTTAGATTTGTGAAATCCAACATACTTCAGTGGGTAGCTGCAGTTCTTTCATTTTCATGTTAGTATGATACTATAGATTAAGAATACACCACAATTCCTATATCCATTCTCCTGTTCATAGTATTTCTGCTCTTTCTTGTTAAACCTGTTTTCAATAATGATTCTTGTACACACACACATTTCTGTCCAGTATACGCCTAAGAGTGGCACTTGCTGGCTCACAGAGTACACTCATGTTCAGTTGGTAATGCCAAACCATTTTTGCAAGTGGTTATGCTAGTTTACATTCCTATCTGAAGTCTCTGACAGCTTCTGTAGCTCTAGATTCTCACAAACAGTATGACAAGCCTTTTCTAACTTGTAGCCATTCTGGTGGGTGTGGAGTGGTACTTCATTAGTCCAGCAGAACAGTAGTATTCCTCCAACCACTGTTTGGGAAATAACGGTCTAGGAAATAAGAAAATTGAGCCAGAGTCTGGGAATCTTTTGGTAGATCTGTGGATGCTACAAAAAGTATTATTTGGCTATGAAGCTTATAAAATCAAATAGAAACCAGCATTATAGCTCCTACCCACAAAGGCTCTGAAGACCTTGAGTAATCAGAACTGTAGAGATGCACAGAGCAACGCATGAGTCCCAGCTGGAAGCTGTTAGCTCTCTTCTAGTGTGAATTTCTGTGATTTATGCATATGTTTACAACATATGGTCAGACACCACTAAGGTTCCAGAGACCTTATGTTGGTAATCAATGACTATTTCACCTTAACCCTCTCAGAATCCACTCACTGAAGATTTGCAAACTACCTGTCATTCCATCTACAGAAAAAAAGTACGAAAGTCACAATGAAGTTAGAATCATAGCAAATGATATTACATTTATGATCACTCTTCCTTTATATAAATTTTTACTTTTAATGACAAGATAAAATTAGTTTCTTTAGCAACAAAGAGTAAATCTCTCTTTGATGGCATTTATTTATTTTTCTCTTTTTCTATGAGGAATATTGCCACAATAATTATCATTTGCTTTTCTTATTTTGTTCAAACCAGTTCTCATTAAAATGTGGCCTAGTATAACCTAAGAAAAATCAGTTCCTCAGAAGACATCATCAGAAAACTCTTTGGAGCATCTGGATACCCAAAACTTAGTGATAGAATTAATATTCTATTAAATATTGCTAGTAATGGTAAAATGTGTGTGGAGCAGTAGGGACTGGCAGAGTTAATGAACATTTAGTTGAGAGACAGTGAGCAGGGCTAGTTTGTCCATGAGTAGAGAAGAAAAAGTTTAAAGTGCCTAGAAAATAGAAATCTTTCATGACAGAAAATGTACACAATGAAACAATAAAAGGTTATAAATGTACACTAAATGTGTGAGTATCAATGGTCTAAATTAATGGAAGGTGATTTGCTTTGTGTTCTTTCAGCATCTGACAGATGCTTGCATCATAAGAGTGATCTTACCCGATTACAATTGCTTGTGTTGGGATGAGATGTGAAGTACTGTGTTAGTCCATTTTCACACTGCCATGAAGAAACACCTGAGACTGGGTAATGTATAAAGAAAAAGAGGTTTAATGGATTCACTGTTCCACATGGCTGGGAAGGCCTCACAATCATGGTGGAATGTGAAGGAAGAGCAAAGGCACATCTTACACGGTGGCAGGCAAGCGAATGTGTGCAGGGGACACGTTCCTCTTTATAAAACCATCAGCTCTCATGAGACTTATTCATTATCACGAGAACAGCATGGGCAAAACCCATCCCCATGATTCAATTACCTCGCACCAGGTGCCCCCATGACATGTAGGGATTATGGGAGCTACAATTCAAGATGATATCTGGGTGGGGACACAGCCAAACCATATCAAGTACTATGTTTTACTTCCCTCATATTTCATTGCTTCTTCATCTATAAAGTGTGTATAATAATACCTCATATGGGTGGAGGTTGAATGAACATATGTAAAGTGCTTAGAACAATGTCTGGCACATAGTACCAATAAATGTTAGTTTTGTTATTGCTATTAATATTATTAAATGTCTTCATCATTACTTGAGGCTTTTCTCCTACCCTCCCCAATTCTGGCCAGATAGCCAAGGCTAATATTGCCCAAGTGGAATTGTCGTTGGAGATAGACCAAAGAATCGTCAAATTCTTTTGCTTTATATTTAAATTCTTGCGTTAGGGGTGGAATTGTGCCTCCTCTTGAAAAGTTCTAATCCTGAATAATTTAGAATATGCCCTTATTTGGAAATAGGGTATTTACAGAGATAATCAGGTTAAAATTAGGTTAAGAGGATGGACCCTAATCCAAAGTGACTGGTGTTCTCATAAAGAGGAGAAAATTTGACACAGAGGGAGGACCACGTTAAGACGGAGATGCAGGGAATGTAGCATATAAAGACAGAGACAGAGACAGAGACTGGAGTCATGCTACCACAAACCAAGGAACATCTGGGGGTACTAAAAGCTAAGGAAGCAAGAAAGTATCCTTCCCCGGCAGGTTTCAGAGGAAGCATGATCCTGCTGACACCTTGATTCTGGCCTCTGAGTAGCCAGAACTGTGAAAAAATTGATTTCTATGTGTCTAAGCCCCTCAGGATGGTAGTTTGTTACAGCAGCCCTAGTAAACTGATACATTAGGCAGAAGACAAAAAGATTTCAAGGGAAAACACGTGGCTCCAGCTTACCTTTGGTATAGAAAGAAGAGATCCAAGCAAAACTCTTTTGAGCCTGAAAAGGAAGTTAATGAAGAAGGAAAGGAGTCTCTGAAAAGGGCTTCTTACATAGTTTGCCAATCTAGGATTAACTAGAAAGGTGAAAAGATGAGAAGTTTCCATCTACTTACACTATTCTAGTGTGGCAGAGATTGTGCCCCGCTTGCCTGAAGTCTGCAGAGTGCGTTACATCCCATGGTTTGCAAACAGCAGAACAGAGATGGCTGTGTGAGGTGCCTGGGGCAGGGAGGAAGGCTTAAGTCAGCCAATTACAACCAAGAGTGAACCTGGGAACATGCTGCTTTTTCTTATATCCTCCTCAAGGACCAGAACAAAAGTTTCCTTAGAGGAAGAAGTGACAAAGAGGGAATGCTGCCATGCAAACTGGATGGATGGTATTCCCGGGGCCCAATGGGTCTGTGGGTACGTTAGTAGATATGAGGGATAATGATGGTCATGGATCATGCAGGACTCCTCGCCTCAGTGGATGCCCACATGGAGAAAGGGGGACCAGGGTCATACTCTGCTTTCTCTGTATATGTACACGCTCCTGAACTTAGATCGGTCTCCATGAGAAGGAGAGATAGAAGAGGAAAATCATGTATTGGCTGAATGCAAACCCAAAATAATTGGGAAAAGCCTCAAGTAATTTAGTTTACCTAGAAAATTGACTAGATTTATTTTTCTGCCATTAGACAAAATGGGGGCCACAAATGAAAACGAAGTATGTAATTAACATTTCTTGAACACGTAGCCGGGAAATGTGGTATCAGCTGTATTTGTTTTTCTTCTTTATATGAGCTCCTTTATGGCAGGCACTGTGTGTTTCTCTCTGTGTCTTTTCAAGTCTGATATAATACTTGACATCATTTTTGTCCATCCATACAGTTGGTTTGTCAATATGAAAGTATTTATTTAACTGATGATAAACTGTAATAAAATTGTAGTCGTTTGCTCTAAAGTAAATATGAAACGTCAGATGAAACAATAACACACATCTGGATTGAGAAATATCTTAATAACTGAATTATTTTTATTTTGTTTATGTATTGTGTGCTTTAGTATCCTAATAAGTAACACATTTTCTTAAGTATTTTATTTCATTTATTTATTTTTGAGACAGAGTCTCTCTGTTACCCAGGCTGGAGGGCAGTGGCAGGATCTTGGCTTACTGCAACCTCCGCCTCCCAGGTTCAAGCGATTCTCACGCCTCAGCCTCCCAAGTAGCTGAGATTACAGGCACGTGCCACCATGCCTGGCTAATTTTTATATATTTAGTAGAGACGGTGTTTCACCATGTTGGCTAGGCTTGTCTCTAACTCCTGACCTCAGGTGATCTGCCCGCCTTGGCTTCCCAAAGTGCTATGATTACAGGTGTGAGCCACCATGCCTGGCCTTATAAAAGTATTTTATAGACATAATATAAATAACTGATTTGCATGACCTCATTTGAGATGAATTTCCACTGTTCCTGGTGTCATACACGTGCACCAAAATAATCCAAAGGTCTACACTCGCTAGGTTCACTGATGTATAGAATATTTTTCTACATTTAGATATTTCTTGCAAATATTTTACCAGAAAGCAACACAAAAATACTATCAGTGAGTATGTGTTACACTGTTCTCTAAGGAGTCAAATTACTCACCTTGGAAATAATTCATCCCAGGAAGAGAAAAGGTTTTCAAAAGACCAGAGCAGGCCACAAGGGAGCTTTTACAAAACTCCATACATAAAGGGTAATGTAAACTTAAAACCTAATTTTCCAATAGCAATTTTTATATCTTTTAATTTTAGTAGTTTATGTGTGAAACAATCACGTGAAACAACAAAATGATAAAATTTAGAAAAAATATTAGTAAAATGCAAATAACTGAATATGTAAAAGGATCCCATACATATTTATATGTAGTAGATAAGTTACATTTTTTTAGTGTGTTGGGAAATTTTAGCTCACATCAACTCTCTGCTGTCATCTTGGGGCACTTTCACGACTACCATGCTTCATACAGGTTTCCTTTCCTCCCCATGATAGAGGATAATGGGAATGTACTTTCTTTGGTTCAATTTTATGTGTGTCCGCCAGTAGATGGCGGTACCACTTTGAGTGCTATCCGCCTTTTTTTCTTTCTTTCTTTCTTTTTTTTTTTCTCAAAGCTGTTTTCTGATATATGTTGGGTACCATAGAGTGAATCTCAGAACAGGAAGCGGAGGCATAAGCAGAGAGGATTCTGGAAAGGTCTCTTTGTTTTCTTGTCCACAGAGAAAGAAAGAAAAAAAGATTGTAATTAATTTGTAAACCTCTGTGGTCACAAAAAAAAAAAAAGCTGAACAGCTGCAGAGGAAGACACGTTATACCCTAACCATCTTGGATGCTGGGCTTTGTTATGCTGTAATTCATAAGGCTCTGTTTTATCAGGTAAGCTGACAAAACATTTCATTATCTGCACCATAGAATCTAGCTACCAGGTCATTTTTCTTACTTTAAAATCATCTTCATGCTGCTATTTTTAACCCAGTATTGTTTAAATGTAAATTACAGGAACCAAAGGCATCATTTGATGTGTAAACTGCTTACTATTTCTTTATCTTTCAAAGAAAACAGAGTCTGTCTGGAAATGGTGATTTATGGTGCATACTAGGCATCAATGGTCTTGTGTTTTTGTAGGTGCTTATGATTTATTGTATTCAGAAAAAATATTTTTTATTATACTTAAAGCTAGTCTAATGAGTTTCCTGTCTGTATGTCATCTATTTAAATGCCCAGTGTGTCCAGTATTTTTAAAACATTAATGTATAGTGAAATTGGAACTATCATTCTTGTGCTTTAGTCTTTTATTTAACAGCTTTAGAGAGGCCATGCATATAGGGAGTGATAACAATATAGAGGTGCTTGGCTTTGTGAAGCACACTATCATTTTTCTCTAAAATCTGTTTTCATAGAGAAAAGAACACCAATACTAACCATTTAAAAGAGGTTGAACCTTCGAAAAATAAAATAATCTCTATATGTTCCATAATATGCTACTTCTTTATCCTTTAATATATTCATTTTATATTAAATGTTTACCTTTTAATTTATTGATTTAAAGATTATTATATCTTCTTGATTAATTGTTCTATGAGCTTGATAGATTATTTTTTCTGTATGTATTTAATAACTGATTATTTTTATTAATTACCAGGAAGAACTACTGGAGCCATAAAACAATAATTTACTTTATCTATGATCCATATTTTCTGTAGTTGTATTTAGAATATTCTACATCATAACCATAAATGTTTCATTCAGTTCGCCACCACATAATTAGAATAAGAAATTATTGACAGAAATCTATAGGTATAAATTGAAAGATAAGTTTTAAAAATCATACATGGCTTTAAAATACACAACAGGTAGTGTAATGTGGCTTATGAGGACAAAGATAAAGGCATAAGTGCTTGTAGGAATTTGCATGGAAACATTTCATCACATTCACTCCAACTAGAGTGTACCGTATATTAAATGAAGACCTCTGATTTCAACAGGGCTTCCAGTCAGTACTGGCTAAAAGGGCTTCAAAAATAGAACTTGAGGCCTCCAAACTGTAATTTCTAATGATATGTTAAAAAATATTGATATCTTTCTTAACATTTTACATTGAGTAGCAATAATTGTCCCCCTGAAAACATTTCAAAAGAGTGATTGCCTAAGAGGAGAGTCCTGGGTCTTGTTTATTTCAGAGTAATTCCTACCATAGGATATAAAGAAAACTATTTTTTTTTGGACAGTGTTCCCAGAAATGGCTGTTAATTAACTTGATTGTATTGTACACACCATGCTTCTCTACAGGTGACTAAATGTGAGTAACTTTGCTCTGTGCAAGCACCAGAGCTGGTCTTGATTGAACTGGTTTACATTTATGAATGAATGCTTAATTTTGTCCCCAAATGTTAACTTTTATTTTTCTTGGTATACTTGCAACAATCTCTTAGTTATTCATCTATACATGTGGTCACCATGTGAAAAGCAGATACACACAGAGTTCTTCACTTCACAAAATGCACTCTTTCAAAAATTTCGGAAATTAAACCTCTTTTGATTAAATGGTATATCAAACAAGTTTGAATAACTTACTCTTTAAAAGAATGTAGTGGTGATTGCATTTGTAAAGTTGAGAAAAATGCTATGATTTGAGTACTGAAGATAAAAAGGTTGAACCCTGAGCTGAAAGTCTTGGGATCTGGTTCAAGTTCTGCTACTAATGAGTTTTGTTGCCTCAGAAAAGACACTAAGGATCACTGAAGAGCATTTTCCTTGCCTATAAAGGAAGGAAATTAGAACCAAAGCTATATAAGAACACTTTGTTTTTAAAGTTTTCTGATCCTCATTTATTTGGATTTTTCTTCAGTTGGTTTCTCAGCTTAAGATACAACTTTGACTCTCACTGAGTTGTAAATTATGATTGATGTGCTAAACATGAAAGTGGGAAAATAGAGAAATAGGGGCATTTCTTGGCCAGTTCCTTCTGTGTTGGAAACTAGTAGAGAGCAATATGGAGAAGTGGTTAAGAGCAAGAGCTTGGCAGGTTACATTTTATGGCCACTATTACCTGACAAGTCATCTAAACTCTCTGAGCCTTTGTTATATCATCTATAAAACAGGAATAATAACGACTGTGTTGCAGGATTGTGTAACTAAAATAATGTCTGTTCAGTGCTTGGTATAGATCCTGGAACATGATTACGAACCTCCTTCCTCTCTCCCCCGCCAACCTAACTCACATCAAAAGGAACAGGATAAACATAAAGGCATAAATTTTCATCATTGTTATTATTGTTATCGTTAGTGCTGGTGATATAATACCTTCCACCACAACAGGAAGGATGGAATAAAACTGCCAAATAATTATGTACCTGAAAAGTGAATAATTCTCATCTTGGAAGGGTGCCATTTACAACAACAATTGTGTACCTATAATAATATCACTTAGTGTTAACATTCCAGGCAATTCCTGGAGAGTTTATACAACTCATAATACCTTCCATAAGACAGTTATTTATGCCCAATATGCTATCATGGACTTCAAAACTTTCTTCTTCTTATGAAAATAGAGGCAAAGGGCCTTATTTCACGTTCCCTTAAGAGGATATACCTGTTAGATGAAAAGTCTCTGTAAAGATTCACAAAGGGAATCTATGTTTCACCAAAACCACATTTAAATGCCAAGTAATTTCTACTAAGACCACCAGACAACAACCAAAATCTCAGGAAAGTCTTTGCTATGTGATCAACTCACAAACTCTCTAATGCTTCAGTTCTATTAACGGTACAATAAGATGTGGAAAGGCAAATTGTGCTTGATGAATGGTTGATGGACTGCAAAATCCCTGCTTTCCTCCAAAGGTTGTTTCTAAGTGTAGCTTCGTGCTCCTGACAGCTGTGTGCTACTGGGGTCTTCGGGAGCTAGAACTGGGATGACCTTTCAGCACCCCAGGCCTCCTAATCCTTCCCTTCAACCACCCTGAGCCTCTTTAAACTGACTCAAGTAACTGTGCTGTCAGTTTCATCTTCATGGCAGTCAAGATGACTTAACGGACTCTTGATTAGGTAGATCTGAGAGGGCTAAGAGCTTGGGAGCCTTAAAAATATGAGGGTAGTGTTTCTCCACAAGATAAATATGGTGCTTGGAATTTGTTGCTCATCTGTCTCTCAGTTCTAGGTCACTTCCAGCTCTTACGAGTTCTTATTTTTAAGGTTGAAGTTAACTAAAAGCATCCATAAGAATAAGCATTTAAAGATTTTTTTTTCACCAAGAAACGAACATGTGATTATATAGTGATATTTCTTTACATAGGTAGCTGTGAAGATTACTTTTTTCTCATTTTCAGTTATGTATAGAAACATGAACTCACTGAAGTTTGGGAATTCATGTTTCATTTGTCACCTAAAAATATATTATTCATTCACACCTTAATATTAATGGTTGTTTTACCAGTTTTCCAAAACTGTGAGGATTAATTACTAACCTACCAATGAAATATAATTACTTAACAATCTATTTTTGTATTTTTAGATTCTATTTTACATTTTCGATTAATTTTAATTCTAACTGCTCTCATTTTCAAAATTTCATGCTTACGTTTTACCTCATAAACAACTTTCCTGGCAAATCCATATAGAACCTGACATCTGAATTACTTCTTGAGGTAGATTGAACAATTCTAACTTGAGGTAGTTAGAAAATTTGGAAGAAAGAAAATCATATTCTTGCTTTATATTGCCAGTTCACACATGTATCTTTGATTGAGAAGCTACTTTTTTAGTTCAGCTTTACCTGAAAATATTTTTCACTCTAGGATGAAATTAACACATTCTTTGTTTATATTTTAATGGGAAATAACAAGTGCAGGCACCTATTTCGGAGCAGAATAGTGTTTCCTCTTAATAATACAGCAATAAATAAAATCTTGCTCTTTTGCTAAGCACAGACATACTTCGTTTTATTAACTTCCTGATAGGCACCAGCTCTTTGGATACCTAAAATTTGAATCTACATCAGACATATAATTTGTTAAAGTAGATGAATTCTTTAAAATTTATATGAATGCCTACTTAACTGGATACCACAAGTTTCAATGTGCCAAGTATTTTTTTTTGGTTACTTTTTTAAATATCCTACTTCTTTCCTGTAAGGATTTGAAATGATAAAGGACATTGTGGAAATAATTTTAAAGAAAGTTTTACCCAAGATCTAGGATTGCCTGAGAGGAGAGCCCTGGGTCTTGTCTATTTCAGAATAATTCCTACATAGGATATAAAGAAAACTATAGGATATAAAGAATAATTCCTACATAGGATATAAAGAAAACTATAGGATATAAAGAATAATTCCTACATAGGATATAAAGAACAACTGAAAGGTAACTTACAAGCAAGTTTACAATATTAAAATACAGCACATATAAAAATATGCTGGGTGTAGTTGTATAAATGAATTTTAAGGAATTTTAGTTCAGAGAAAACTTATGAAATCTGGAGTTATTTCTGTAAGAATTGAATTAGGTTTTCATTTTTTTGGAGACTGCATATAGGGAGACCTTCATGTGATTAAACTCTGTGCTGGAGCAAAGTTAGAGAAATGATGGTCCCTTAATTATTAAATAGTGGTTTAATATTGTTTTATTCAATGGGTGAATTCAAAGTCACTCTTTAAATAACTTTGACCATTTTCTGCCAAGAAGCTCCCTTTTGGGAATTTTAATCTCCTGATTTTCAGAATATACTTTATTCTTACTTTGGTTGTACAGAACATTTTGTCCTTTTGCTTTCCCAAGAAAGAGCTTGAACTGGAATAATTCACTAAATTCCAATTCATATTTCTAAGGAGTGACATTGCACTTCTGGTCTAGAGTCCAATATATTCTTGCATAAGATTT